GGAAATTTGGGGTCACTCATTCAGTTTTAGTCATTTTAGAAACCAAACTAAAGAGGTCAATGTTAAGACAATGACATGTTGATTGATACAAATTAGGACAATGAGATATCCATTTTTATTTATCAATGTAGTAAGTCTTTTCCAGACCAACATTCCCCATACTAAAAAAGCAAGCAAAAACAAAACCACTGACGTCCAGTGGATTCCAACCCAAGTGTCTCAGAAAGAACTGTTCCAGAAAGTTTTCAATGGCCGATTTTTCAGAAGTGGGGTTCCAGGCCTGTTTCTGAAACACTGTCTCATCCGGTGCCAATCTCACACTCGTTGCTACACTTGAGCCTATTGCTGCCGCCACTGTGCCAATCAATCTTACTGGGACCTTCCTCTTTTTTCTGTCGCTCCACTTTACCAAGCATGATGTCCTTCTCCAGGGACTGGTCCCTCCGAAGTATCAGAGGTGAAATATTGCTAAACTGACTTTGAAGGAGCATTCTGGCTGTACCTCTTCCAACACAGATTTATTTGTTTCTTTGGCAGTCCATGGTACTTTAAATATTCATCGTCTTTTTCCACAGATATAGTCAATTTGATTTCTGTGTATTCCATCTAGTGAAGTCCTTGTGTAGAGACATCTTTTATTTTGTTTTAAAAATGGTATTTGCAAGAAGAAGACATAGATTTTGCAGAATTCTATCATACGATCTCCAACATCCTTTCTAGCACCAAGACCGTATTTTCCAACCACTGATCCTTCCTCTTTGTTTCCAACCTTTGCATTTCAATCACCAGTAATGATCAATACATCTCAATTGCACATTTAATCAATTTCAGACTGAAGAAGTTTCTAGAATTCTTCAATTTCATCATGACTGGCTTTAGTGATTAGTGCATAAATTTTAATAATAGTATTAACTAGTCTTCCTTGTAGGCGTATGGATGGTGTACTTTAAGACAGATCTTGAAATGTTCTTTTTGATGATGAATGTGACACCATTTCTCTTCAATGTGTTATTCCCAGAATAGTAAACCATGTGATTGGCAGATTCGAAATGGTCAATGCCATCCATTTCAGTTCACTAATGCCAAGTATACTGGTGTTTAGGCACTCCATTTCTTTTTTTTATAATTTCCAGTTTTTCTAAAATCATACTTCGTATACTCATTGTTCCAATTATTAATGGATGTTTACAACGGCTTCTCTTCATTTTGAGTTGTGCCCATCAGCAAATGATGGTCCCTAAAGCTTTACTCCATTTGTGTCATCACAGTCAACTCTACTTGGAGGAGGCAGCTCATCCCCAGTCTTATTTTGACTGCCTTCCAACCTAAGGGGCTCATCTGACAATATTCTGGTGTTCTTTGTCGTGTTTCAATATTCAATTTTCTGGTGCTATCTGATAGTGTTCCGCTGCTATTCATAAGGTTTTCAGTGACAAAATAATCGGAAGTAGTCTGTCTCTCCTTCTTCCTAGTCTGTCTTCATCTGGAAGCTCAGCTGAAACCTGTCCGCCATGGGTGACCCTGCTGGTATTGAAAATACTGGTGGCACAGCCTCCAGAATCACAGCAATACACCATCCACCACAGGACAACAAACGTTGGCAGTTAAGTGGTGGAAGTTGCCACATAGACATAGACAATAGAGCCCAAATACAAATGACGAATGAAAGATGTCACTTGAAAATGCTCAAGGAACCTCCAGATCTGACAACAAAACCAATGTCCTGAATGCAGACATCTACCTTCTACTGCTACTTAGTGGATGTACATTGTGAAAAATAAATATCTTTTTTTAAAAGCTACCCACTTGTATTTCTGTTACATCTGCATTAGGAAACTAAGACAGAGTACAATGGAATGAAATTAGAAACAATAAACAGAAAAAGAATGGAAATCACAAATAATGTAGAAATAAAATAATACATTATTAAATAACTAATGGTTCAGAGAAGAAATCACAAGGAAATTCGAAAAAACTAGAGACTAATAAAAAGCTAAATACACGAAAACTAATAGAATTGGCGAAAGATGTGCTCAGAAGGAAACATTTCAATCAATAAAAGTGTACATTAAAGAAGAAAGATTTCAAATATACGATCTCACTTTCCACACTGAGGAATAAGAAAAAAGAGCAACCAAGCCCAAAACTGACAGAAGTTAGGAAATAATAAAGATTACAGAGCAAATACATCAAATGAAGAGAAAGCAAATCAATGAAACCAAAAGTTCGTTCTTTGAAAAGATCAACAAACCTTTAGATACATTTGACAAGAAAAGAGAGAAGTCTCAAATAGCCAAAATCAGAAGTGAAAGCGAGGACGTTACTACCGGCCCTACAATAATAATACATTCAATATGAGAAAGATGAGGCGTTCTGCTCCTGTAAAGACTTACAGCCTCGGAAACCCTGTACAGGGTCGCTATGAGTTGGAACCGACTCCACGGCACATAACAACAACAAATATGCTAGATGAAAGTGGCAAAGTCCCAGAAAAGCACAAAAATGCCTTATAGTGACTCAAGAAGAAATAGAAAATCTCAACAACCTTTAATAAGTAAAGAGATTTAACTCAGTAATCTTTAATAAGTAAAGATTAACTCAGTAATCAAAAACAAAGAAAAGTCCAGGACCAGATGGTTTCACTGGTGATCTACCACACATTTAATGAATAATTAACACCAATCATTCTTAAACTCCTCTAAAAATAGTAACACAGGGAATACGTCTTACAGAATGGGAGGAAAATGTAGGACAGAATTCAAATTCTTTAAAAAAAAAAAATCCAGATTTACTGAATTGGTTTAACTCGACTACTACCCTGAGATATACTTTAAGCCTTAAACCTAAATTATTCTTTGAGGTCACCATTTAGCTAAATAAGACTGGCTCACAAACTAAAGATTATCATCCATGAGTAATGAGCTTCTTTAAGAAAAATCATCTATAGGCCACCCAATGGTTAAACATTACTCTAAAGCGAAGATGAAAAGGTAAAGGGGTTAGGGAACTACAGTACAGAATGAATAAGAATAACGCCACATTGTGGAAAGTGGAAACAATGTGTTGTAGCTAAGTGCCATCGAGTCATCGAGTTGGTTTCAACTCATAGCAACCGTGTATAGGGTTTCTGAGGAGTGGGTGGTAAGCTTGAACCACTGATCTTGCTGTTCAAACCAACCTTGAAGTCCAGCACATTAGCCTGCAGTGCCACACCAGTACTGGAATCTGGAAACACTATTACCGAATCATTTGTATAGAAATGGTACTTGGGAATTTAATTTGCTGTGTAAACCTTTTTACCTTAAGCACAATAAAATCTTAGTAAAACAAATAACTCTATAGCAAAACAGGAGAAGCTTACTGTATATCAATTATTCCTCAATAAATATGATTTTATGAAATTAAGGGGAAAGAAAACCAACATGAACAGGAAAAGGAAAACTCAAGTTCCCCTCCCCTATCCTCCTTGAACAATCCCTACAAAAGAATGATTTTGAGGCTCAGTCAGCCAAGTCCAACAAGCTTCTGTCTTTCTTGAAAACACATGTCGTTAAGTGCTGGCGAGTCGGTTCAGATGCATAGCAACCCTGTATAGGGTATCCAAGGAGCGGCTGGTGGGTTTGAACCTCTGACTTTTGGTTAACAGCCCAGTGTTTATTCTACAGCGCCACATCAGGACACACACATACATTTGAAAACTAGTGTCAGTGATAATTTCTATAATTAGTGACTGTGTCTGAAAGTCACAATCAAAATGACTAATGTTTTCAAAAGACGAAGTTAAGATGCAAATTCTGATGATATACACGGATAATATAAGTTTTACTATTCAAGCTCAGCTGTTATCCTGATTTTGTGTAAAGAAACACCATTGAAACTTCCTAATTCTATAAATGATTCCCATGGCCCAGCAGCTACTGGGCTCTCAAGTCTTAAATTCCCGAGCCTGGACACAGTGTCTGGATTGCGTCTAATGAGTCTTAATGCTCTTTAAGAGTCAGAGCTTTATACAAGCTTTGCAGAATAAATTTCATTTCTGGCACAGTAGAATTTCTTGCCAGGCGAGATTTGATTTCAAAATTACAGTAAGTTCTGGAAATTCAGGTTTCTGTCTTGCACACTCCCACATCTCGGCTGACCCATGTCTCCACCCTCTGGGACTTGGGGAGAAGATACATTTTCCACCGAGAATTACCTTCACAATGCTATAGCTATGACCTTCCAGGGCTTTGTAAATCCGACAACTGGATTGTTCTCAGTTGAAGAATTGTGAAGCTCAGAGTGAACACTATTCAGCTGGGAAACCATGCCTGGGAGGATTTTCTGGTAATTATGAGAAGTTGTTTGAAAGCCTAAACACAAACACTACAAGAAATGAAAAGGGCTTCTTTTGCATGATTTCTTTAGGCTTTTACTCAATTATATGCAAGAATAAGAATACAATCTCTTACTTAATGGGAGGGTTAAACACAATAAAATGGTGGTGGTCGGTAGCGGTTGTGTGCCATCGAGTTGGTCCTGACTCATTTTGTTGTTGTTGTTAAGTGCCTTCAAAATGGTTCTAACTCACAGCAACCCTACATAGGGTTTCCGAGGTGCAGTTAGTGAATTTGAACAGCCGACCTTTTGGTTGGCAGTCCAGTGCTTATTCTACAGCCCACACCAGGACTCCATCCCTGTTTATAGCGACCCTGTATAGGGTTTCCAAGGAGAGACTGGTGTGTTTGAACTACTGACCTTGTGGTTAGCAGTCCAGTGGTTATCCTACAGTACCATACAACGACTCCAAATAAAATAAAATCGTCAAAAAATACATTTTTGACAAAATTCTAACACCTGTATAAGGTATGTTTCGAGGATGTTGTTGTTTTTTACCACATAAAGCATAATTCTGACCTCGAAGGTACACCTCCCCTACTTTTTAAACTTCCCTTTCTTTCAAAAATACTGGGAGACTATATTCACAGTCCTTGGGAGTCTGAGGATCACTGTTGACTCACCTGAATGTGCATGGCGCCCTCTACTGCTTCCTGAAGGTCAAAGCAGCCGCTGATGAGGGACAGCTGCTCTCCGACACCCAGAGAGCCTTTCAGGGTACCCGATTGCTCCAGTAACTCCATCTCCTTCCTGGGAAAAATAAAGGAAAAATTACTGTGAGTATTCACAATCAAGTTAAAAAGCAAACAAAAGATGAGCGGGATGGGCTTCCTTCAGCCCCCTGCAGTAGACTGGCTAAAGGAAGGCATCTAGTTATCAGGATTGACTCCAGGGGCAAGCCAGGGCCTTCAGCGTAAAGGGCCTATGCTTGGTCTAATGTTCAGCTTCCACTATCCACAGTCTTAAAAGTTTTCATAGATTTTGAACAAGGAACCCACTTTTCACTTATAGGATCACCATCCATGCCATTGAGTCAACTCTAAATCAGCACAGAGTAGAAATGCTTCATAGGGTTTCCCGGATGACACATTTTTACAGGTGCAGACAGCGTCATCTTTCTCATGTGGAGCAGCTGGTGGGTTTGAACCACCAACCTTGCAGTTAGCAGCTTGGTGCTTAACCCATAGCACCACCAGGATTCCATTTGACCCACAACTTAGATAATCATCCTGCCTATCATTCATATAGCAAGCAAACAAGGCACAGCATACATATAAGCACCCACAGAGTTACCAAAGGCACAACACCCCTTGCGTGCCAAAACACAAACTCAATGGATTTTCCACTCTTGGGTCAAAGTGATTTACATTTGATCACAGCAGCTCTTATCTTTAAGTTGTCACTGTCCTTTCACCAAAAACCCACCAAGAATATCCCTGCAGCTGCACAAGTTACATGTGTTGCTCTTTGTGTCTTGTCTTTCCAATGTTGTTGTTGTTGTTAAGTGCCGTCGAGTCGGTTCCGACCCAGAGCGACCCTGTACAGGGTTTCC